GACTACGGTTCAATTCCTCCAAGAGCAATACAGTACCTTCTATGTACATAAGTTTTATATCGGAAGAAAAAAAAATGGAAAACATGATGTGTTCGCTACAGTTTCCAGGGCTGTACCTCATAAAGCCTCCACCGAATAGGCTGCTAGTTGGTTGGGATGTGCCGCCAGCAGCACCGTCGTCATCCATACCCTCATCAGTATCTACACTGGCAGCTGCTGAGGCTGCTGCAGCTGCGAAACCTGAGTGGAGAAAAATGTTCAAAAGACCTGCTCCATAACATGAGACAATTGAATCTATCGAGATACCAAAAGGCTTTGCACCAAAACTGAATGTGGAGCTCGTTGCAGCCGGTTGGCTTTCCGTCGTAGTCTTCGGCTTGAACGAGAACGTCACAGTGGTAGGCGGACTCGATGTAGTTACGGCTCCAGCTTCAACGGAAACTGATTTACATAAAACTAAGCACAATGAGAAAAATAAGCAAAAATGAGCTTGAAATTATGTACAAATGCTCTCAAATTTCACCTGTTCCAAGCGGCTTTGCTCCAAAAATGCTGCCGAAAGCGCTTGTTTGAGTGGTTGTCGGAGCTGTAAGAGAACTTCGTTTTCAAAATTTAGCGTAAAAAAAACTCGTTGAACCGCTTCATTGTTATTGGTAAAGAGCTTAAAAAAAGGTAAATAATAGAGCTCATGTAGATGCATCAAGCAGGCACTCATTAAATTCTTTAGGAAACGCCACGCATTCTCTTAATCCAAAATGCGTGGCGTTTCTTGCCATCCAAAATCAGGCCAGCTTCTACCGTCCTTTATCTACGAGTTTGGATTTGGTCAGAAATTCCTCCCTCCCCCACTAGCAAGTGGTGCTCTGTCCCCCAAATACAAAATATATGGCATCCGCTAGCAACGAACCACTCTGGCCTCGTGAACAATTCGCCATACCTCTTAGTAGCTCCGGCACGCGTAGCTCCTCCAGGCTCTTCCACGTCGAGCAATGTACCGGGGCAGCTAGGGAAACACAATGAGACAAGAGCAGCACTCTTTCTAGACTCGCCTACCATGGATGATCCTTTCTTCTCACACCAGAGAAGTCCGCCAACTACCATGGATACTTTGAATGAGATCGGTAGATAGACAGAGTTCTTAAGGTTATTTCCAAATTATTAGTAGCAAACTGGCAACCTGTATTTCACAAGCAACTTATGAGCAGGTTAAGTTTGTAATGGTGCTGTAGGGTGGAGGCTTGGTGGTGAGCTGTGAAGCATAAGCGAGGAATGCATGGCGTGCCGCATCGAGTCGCGGCTGGTTCAGTGGTAAGCATTCGACGTCGACGACGCCTAATTCGACGATGATTCCTCGAGCTATGCTTGCACAGCTCACCACCAACCTCCACCGCTGCTGCACCACTACAAAATCACTCTGCCCTCATAAGTTCTTGTGAAATTGCAGGTGCAGTTTGTTATTATCTATATTTGTAAATAACGCTTTTAAGATTGCTAATCGACCTACCCAGATTCCATTGAAAGCGTTTAATGGTAAGTTTGGCGGACTTCCCTAATAGGCCCAAGCAGATGAAGAGAAATTATAACGTCGTAGATAGCATGTAGAAACCACCACAGCATGCACGCCGCAGACATGATGTATTTCTCGCCCTAATTCCACCTTCCTTGCACCCTTGTGGCTGTGACATTCAGTTCATCGGGGTTCAAACTATCCCTGTTGAACCAAGTTTTCGTTCAATGTCGAGATCGGTATTTTTTTAAGCGCTGGCGACAGGTGGTGCAACAGCCAGAACGTTTTTGTGCCAACACGCCTATGCGTGCTAACGAGGTCAAACTGGCCCTGAGGGCTAACTTCCAGACTAGTCGAAGTTCTGATCCGACAGCTGGAGCAGCAAAGGGTTAATAGCTTTGGAAACTGGTAACAACCTTGTTCAGATTTCACTTCGGCTTGGCCTGTTGCTGCAGACGTCGCGAAAATGCTTCCACCACCTGAATTTTGAAATTGAACGGATAAAAAAAAACAAGAATTCCAAGGCAGCAGTAAGCGCAAAATATGAACTGCTTCATAGTTTTACTAGTATCTTGTGCGACTGCGGACTCTGAAGGCTTCGATGACTGCTCGGAATCTGAAGCCTTGATGGAGTCCTTGGCAAAAATTGACTTCGGTGTGGTTGTGCTGAAGCTCATTTATGTTAACCAGAACTAGTGCCGCAAGTCAGACGATTATAAAAAAACATGCTCTTCGAACTTAACAACTCACTCAATCCTCCAAATATTGAGGGCGGTTTTTCTTCCTTTTTCTCTATAGCTGTGGAGAGAGAACCTCCTAAAAAACGCAACTTTAAGCAAGGAACGTGGCCATACCAAAATATGAAATCACACTGGCCTCCAAAGATAGAAGGTGGCTTCTCCTCCTTCTTCTCAGCCGCTGCAAATACAGAACTCCTGAAAACTCTTAAACCCATCTGATCTAGGAATTGAGAAAGACTGCGCTGAATCTAAAATATAGGTGAAATCTCACCTCCAAAGATAGAAGGTTGCTTCTCATCCTTCTTTTCTGTGTTAGCAGTGTTAGCAGCTGTAAATACCTCCTAAAGATAAGAATGCAATTTCCAAGCACAATGTTCACAGGGTGTCATCATTGCTCACCTCCAAACAACGAGGACGTCTTTCTCTTCTTTCTTTTCGCTACTGGTACCTAAAAGGTGATCTTGCAAGAAGTAAGCGACAGTGGAAAAATCGCTAGACTAAAGCCGCTCTAGTACTTTATTTATGTGGAAAAACCACGAACTGTTTGAATGTGCGACAAGGGAGGGGGTCAAGACAATCGTAATTTACCGCTCCGTTGCGCGCGGTGTTTTCGCAGTTTGCATTAGCCTGTTCGACTGAAACACTGAAATTCAGGTGATTTACCCATCGAGATATTCATGGCCATTTTGATATACACTGTATATTGTCGCCGATCCTGCGACTTAGAAACATCCTGGCGGCGCGCGACCTCACACCGCGAAAGCAGACGCGCCGGAAAATCGATTAGTTTGCCCAGGAGTGGTGGTGATTCAAGCTTACAATCGTCTGCTAAGCGACGCTCTACACTTCCCTTGTCTTCTTCTTCCTGCGGCTAAAGGGGATGTCGGCCGCGATGGGTTTGGCGCGCCGGCCAAACACCTTCTCTATCCAGCTGTTGAGCAGGCTAACCCGCGACATTAGTTGAGTGAAAACGACTAAATAGTACGCGGGAAAAAGCTGAAAACGAAAGGTATTATCATAGACCAGTGACACTTGAAAAATAGAACAAAGAAAAGAACTGGCAGCGAAAGAAACTGGCGCCGCGCTCGTCAAACCTCATCCACGCCCTCGCGCCCCATCAACCACAGCGAAAGACTGGAGCTCGCACATTCCCCAAAACCGCTACTGGCGGAGTTCAATCGATTACTATCTATCCCATGTCGCGCGTTCTCCTAAACTGTGCATACTCCGGAATTCCATTTTCACAAAAGTATGAATGCGGACCAAAGTGCACTAGGAGGACCTACCTAGTCCTCCAAATAAAGATGTTGGTTTCTCGTCTTTCTTCTCGGAAGTGGTAGTTCCTGAAGCTCCTGAAAACATTCAGAAGTCCTACTACGCGAACGCCATTCTGTAGCTCTGATCGCGTGGTCAGCGTGACCATATCGCGCAGTATAAACGCATTCTGATATTGATTCAGTACACTATGAATGAGAGCCACATACCTGCACCTCCAAAAATTGATGATGGCTTCTCGTCTTTCTTCTCAGCACTAGAGGACCCTAAAATCTCATCATTCTCGAATGAAAAACTCAAGCAACGTCGTTCACAATGTAATTACCTATACTTCCAAACATTAGAAAGCGGCTTTTCGTCCTTCTTTTCCGCACCAGTAGCTGTAGAGACACCACTTCGATTACACAAATGAATACTACAACGAATAAAAAATGAGGTCTACCTGCTGTCTCGGCTACAGAAGATTGTTTCTCTTCTTTCTTCTCTTCACTTGTAAGTGCTGAAAGTTTAAGGTGCTAAAATACAATAAAAGAGCAATTCACAAGTAAACTTGAATCGGAACAAACCTTTGGTTCCAAAAATTGACAGTGGTTTCTCATCTTTCTTTTCGTCCAGCTTGAGCGTTCCAGCTCCACCTGTGCAATGACAAATTTCATAAATTACAAGCACATGAAAGTTTTTAACATGCCAATCAGCCCTGATACCAACGAAGCAAAGTTCTATGAACAAGCGCGCTCCCAAGAAG